CCGGCTGGAGATGGGCTTCAGCCTGGTCCTGGGAGCTCTGGAGCATGACTTAGAGCTCCACGTCTCCATGCCCATCTGTCTTAGGTTCTGACTCCCCGCCTCATGCCTTTCAGGGTGGGTGTTTCTTGTTCTGTGAGTCCACTTTCTGGAGAAGGAGGCAGCTGTAGTACGTCAGCAGCCTCACGGTGGCAGCATGGGAGTGGGTACAGGGGATCTAGGAGGGGCACCAACCTCAAATCCCCAGCACCTCTCTCCAGTCTCTCCTGCTGCCCCCTCCCTGTTGACCTTTGTCTTTCTGGATCTGGACCCCATTCAGGGCTGAACTTTCTTTATTATTTGGCTCCCCATCACGTTCTGCCACATCTCTCTGACCCAAAGTGTTACAGTGACAACGTCTTATAAAATGCACACATGGACAAAGCTGGGACTACATAAGTCAGCCCACTATGTGCAGTTGAAACTGGGGACTCTGTTCACCATGGAGAGTCCCCAACCTGACAGCTGAGGCAGAATGGGCTGGGGTCCTCCGCCCAGTCAGAGAATCCTCACTTACACTTGAGTTCAGGACATAAGTCTTCTAAAGGCTGTTATCCCAAAGCCTGGGGCCACCTCACCTGGAACGTGATGGCAGCCACGTCAGCTAAACATAACAAATGCACAAATGTTATTTTCAAAAGCGTGTGAGTACAAAACCTGGGACTTCAGATCTACTAATTCTGCTGGTGAGTTTCCAGCCATCTGTTATCTCTTCCAGGAGCCACCATCTAATGATCTGTAAATATTTACTGAGGACTAAAAGGATGGGGGAGAGGAGAGTTTTTTAGGTCAATCAGTCATGAGTAAAGTGATGGGACTCCCTGGGGGAGCAGTGGATTCAGTCAACAGGAGATATTATTAAAGGAATCTCTTTAAAGTTTAAACTTATCATACACACACAAACATATCATGCCCACTCCTGCTATTTTATCTTTCCTCTCCTGTGTTCCAGTGTGCTGAATCTACTTGAAGTTTTTGCTCTTGAATTCTAGAAATCTAGCTACTGCTTGTCCTGCCAGGTAAACCTATTGAGAGAGTGACTCTCAAGGGTCTTTGCCAAGTTACAAGGCCCTGAACATGCAATTTTCCAGACAGAATTAACCATGGCAATTATGCAATGACCAATGTAATTAATAGGATGATACTCTTTATTGATTCTTTTTATACTATGAACTGACATTGTGCCAAGTGCTTCACATGAATTTTCTCATTCAATTTTCCATCCACTCTATAAGTAAACTGTTATCATTATCCCTATTTTCCAGGGAAGGAAACTGAGACTTAGATTTGGTGACTTGCCCAAGGTTAAAAGGCTAGTTGGGAAATGGGGGAAGAGGCTAGTTATGTGATAGTGCAAACATTTGATTCCAAGTCCAGGTGGCCCTAGGACTTAAGTCTCTAACCACTTTCCTACCATCACATGCACTCACATTTACTGTAAGTTTATTATGTCCCAGACATTGTGTTCGGTGCTCAATGTAAGTTATTTCATTTAATCTTCCAAGGAAGCACAGTAGGAGGGAGTGGCTGGATTATGGTACCGAAAGCAGCAGAAGAGAAGAGTGTGCAATGCAAGGCATTTCTGGGGTGGCCAGAGGAAGGTGCAGGCACAGGATCAAGGGCTGAGGGGGCTTGGGGCAGGCTGGGGTGTGAGGCATGAAATAAGCTGGAGTAAATGATTTGGGACGAGGACTGAGGAGGCTCTGAGTGTACTGGAACCCACCTACCTGTGCTATTGGGTGCATATGGACGCTAGATGGGTAGATGCAAAGGGCCAGGCTGCACCATCAGCACTGGAACGTACCCTGCTGGGTCCACCTTTCAGGTGGTCTCTCCTTTTAGGGATGACTGGATGCCGCACACCTTCACTGTAATTTCTTCAGTTGCATGAGAGCATGCCTGGAGGGGGCATTTGGTAAGACCAGACCGATACCAATTTTGGGTCCACAGACCCCAAGTTCCTTTCCTGGTTCAGCCTCTTACTAGCTGTGGCATCCTTAGGAACTAATTAACCTCTCTGAACCCTGTATTCTTATTTGTCTGTGGAGATGGTGGTATCTACTCCACCGGGTAGCTGAGGAACTAAAAGGAGTGCTATATAGCAAGCATTTAACCCAATGTGCACCTAAAAGGCCTTTAATACATATTCACCTCTTGCTGCATCCACCCTTTGATGACTCTCCTTTTCATCCCTTCTGTCCTTCAGTTGTTTCATGCACTTGATTCTGTGTCTCCAACTATGTTGTGAATTCCCTCAGGGCAAGAACTATGACTTTTATTGTCTTGGTTTCTTCATTCATACACTATGTACTATGTGTTACACACAGTTTACCCACAATTGCTATTATAGCTTTCATCACTCGACAAAAATAATGAATACTACATGATCAATTTTTTAAAAAGGTCCTTCACAGGCTTCTAAGTGTGAGGCTATGTCAAACTCAGTTTATACATCAGAAAACTGTTGCCTGGGAGAGGCTACTGGGTATGTGACATTGTCAAACGTTGGATCAGCACACTGAACAGTTAAAAGGAACCATCCCCAGAAGATTTGTCGTTTCCCTCCCTTTTGAATACATTGCCTTAACCTCCACCCTTGGCATCAATCACCCCTGCCTTTTACACATTTTGGTGGAGTAAATAGTTCAATCAGTTTCATATACCAGCTTGTCAAGTTTCTACATTAAAAAAATATTTTCCAGCTAACAGAGCAGCTCATGTTCACTTACAAAAAAAATATTTTAATAAAAACATATAAGAAAAAAGAAGATGTATTAAAAGTATTTCTAACTCCTCTGTGTAAAGGTAACCCTTGTTAAACTTTTGATATTAATCCTTCCCGATTTTTGACATGTATATTTGGGTATATTACATATGCCTAAAATAGGATTCTACTATGTAATATTAGTTTATCTTTCACCATTCTAATTTCCATTTTGGATTCTATCCATTTCTATTTGTTTGTCAAAAAAGAAGAAGAAAGAAGAATTTTCATATTAAAGTTAAGTCAAGCCTGGCTGTATTTATGCGACTTGAGCTCTTGGCTAAGGCTTAAGTCAGCAAGGGTCTGTCCTCATGGAGAGGAAGGTCTGTGTCCTTTCAACCACACACCCCCCAGGCGTGAAGCCATTGCAAATACTATTTCTCTTATATTTTAGTTCATTCTATTTCTTTCTTCTTCTCCCCCTCTTTCTTGGCTCTTTCTTCTCTCTTGGTCTGCTGAGAGTTACGGACATTAGCAGTGTCACCTCAGAGAGGGGTCAAGGCTGTCGAGATCCGTGCTCTGGGCGCGATCTGCCTGCAGCCCTGGTGCTGACATGCACCGCAGCTGGCCCCGCTGTAGTGGATGGCGTACTGCACAAAACAAGGAGGCAGGCCAAGGACATTGTGTTCTGCCTATAATCAGATCCCATTAAATGGCGAATGCTTCAATTCAAAAGTTTTGAATAGGATGGTACTTTATAAAGAACTCCAGCTGGTTAAATTTAGAGCCTGAAAAAATTCCAGTCTAATAATACACTCTGGCTCTGAGCCACCACATCCTTTAGATGGGGAACTGGATGAGTTTTCATTCACTTGGGGTTGTGTCTCAGTGCTGACTCGGAGGCAGGCCCTTAGGTTCTTTGCTCACGTTGGCCTTGGTGGGACTGGATCGTTTAATGAGACAAGCAGCTTCTGGTGGGTCTCTGACTGTTAAAGGAGCCGCATGCTTGCTGATGCATTGTCAGAGGCTGATTGTGCAAGAAATATTGCTATTTTTATAAATGGTTTGGCCTCTTCAGTCATCCACCTGGCATGTCTCCCCATGGCCCCACCACGACACTCATCCACCCCTTCTTCTGTTTGTAAACTGTTTGCAAAAGCGAGTCCTCAGAAAAGTCTGTCCTCCCTTCATCTTGTTGTTGAAGCCGACAAGGAATTTCCTCTGGCCATGTTTATCAGCTTTATAGATATTTTCAGGACATTTAGGCGTATTTTCCTAGTTCTCCCAAGTCTCTTAACTTCCCAGAGCACATGGCTCATTCCAGACCGGTTTATTGCTTAGTTCTATTCACAAGTACAAGTCAGCCAATGTTTCAGAAGTGCCTTCTGTGGGCAGGGCACTTTGCCAGGTACCTGGGTGAAGGGAAGTGAAAGAAATTCCCAACCCCATGGCTTAAACAATTGCCCATGCCAAGCCCCTCCCACACCCCTCCAGGCTGAATTACTTGCCCAATCCTACACTTGCACTTAGATCGCAGTACCCACCGATCATTGTCTCTGAGCTAGGCACTGCAGACTTGCACATAGTTATCCCAAGTCTCCCAACATCCTTGAGGTGTAAGTATCATCAATCCCATTTTACAGATGAGCGAACTGGGGCTAAGAGAGTGAAAAATATGGCTGAGATCACACAGTTAATAAGTGGCAGAACCATATTCAAACATGAGTGAACTGACCCCAAGGCCCATGCTCTTTACCACTACATTATATTGAAGGTTCTCCCTACTCACCCCCAAGGACATACACTCAGCCTCAGAGGTCGGCTGGCCATTGAGACAGTCTATGTTGTGTGCCAGGGGGAAGGTCTTGTGAAGGTCATTGTCTTCTAGCAGAACTGCCTAGCCTGGCTGCTCAGGGATTTCCCAGGCCTGGCTTATGAAAGAAACTCCCCCCCACACACATGCACACACCTCCGGCCTTGCCTTCCATGGGTGCAGCTCTGCCTGGTGCTCTGGAGGTGTCCCTTCACAGAGGCCACTTGCCCCCAGGTACCTTGGCTCCTTACAGAATCGGGGCCGCTTCGTAAGATCATTGTTCGGTGAGGCTGGGAGGAGACAAAACAGAGTTGGGCTATCCAGGCTAGAATGTTCTGGAAGTTAAGAACTGGTGGAGGGGAGAATGCACATTTAACCTTAAACACTGCTACATGTTTATAGCATCTGAATTCCAACAACATAATATTACACTTAAAGTATGTGGGAAGCAGTTTAATGTCATGATTGCACACCCAGGGCCCAGGGTCAAAAGGAAAGGTCAAATCCAAGTTCTACTACTTGTGCTAGTTACTTAAACTTGCCGAACCTCAGTTACCCTGTATCTCAAAGCATAATAATAACACTTACTATAGGGTTGTTGTGAGGATTCAGTGAGGCAAGGAATGTACGGCTTCAGTGCACTTTGGGCACAGAAAATGCCCCTCATTAATTTTACCACTTGCTATGATTTTTGTTGCTGGTGATAGTCCAAAACAATAAACTGTGATGAATACTGGGCATTTTGGAGCAGGAAGGCAGCTGGCCTCTCCCCAGCCACAGAAGCCTCTGGAAACAAGCTGGGGGTGGGATTAGGAACACAGCTGAAATGAAAACCCATGGTCCCTCTTCTGCCCCCACATCCCTCAGCTTTTTCTCCGCCCCTTCTCATTCTCCTGAAACCTCAACCACCTGGGTAATGGGACAATGAAGGACACAGAGGTAAGAAAGGGGGACAGGCCACAGGAACCCCAAGTTGAAAGGAGGAATGCTAATGGGAAAAGGCTGAGCAGGTTGAGTCTGCAAAGCGAAGTGTCTTTTTATTAACTCTGTGCAAGCTTCAAAGTCAGCTTGTCATGAAATCACTGGGTGCTCCGTTAGAAGGGGCTTTCCGGATGCTGGCTTGAGCTCTCCAGATCATAGCAGCTTCAGGAAAACTGAAAATGGAAACTGGCCAACCGTGCCTCCCCATGGCCAGGCATCAGGCCTCTCTCTCATCCACTTTTTGTCCTTCACAGGGACCACAGAGAGGAAAATCCAATCAGATGGCTGCATTTCAAAATTGGCTTGGCAGTGATAAAAATAAACTCCGAAGGTCCACATATTTGATCAATTTACCTTTATCCTTTAATCGAATAAGCCTCAGCCCTGCAATCAGAAAGAAAAATATTTTGCTAAGCATTTCATTTCTCCAGTGATTCATCTACCAGTGGTCTCAAAGCCGACATGATGGGAATGAGGTATTTAATGCTGAAATAATTTTTATGACCACATCACAAGAGGCTGGAATGGCTTTTAAGGTACATCATATTTTAATCACAAGCACACACATAAGGCACACAATGCTTGAAAACTTCAGAGAAGCTTGAATGGGAGTGCCAGGATCATAATACCATTATCAAGAAAGAAAGAACTGGCTTTTTTTTTCTTCTTCTTTTCAGTTCGTAACTCCTGTGTTTTTGGTTAGCCTGATATGCTTGGAGGAAAGAAAGTAACAAAAAGTACATTCACAAGGAGGTTTCAGCTCAGCAGACGTCCAAGCAGCTAAAATGGGTAACCTCACTGTCTTGTGTTACTCATTAGCTAGAAGGAAGGTCTCCTTTGAAAGAGCAGAAGAATTCCCAGAAGCCAGGGCTGTTGGCAGCACTTCCAGGGAGCACTCATAGCCAGTGCCTCCCGCTGGTCTGCTCCACACACAGCATCCCTGTCCTCGGGATGGCGATGCAGGGAGGGCAATAAAGCCATCCCTGGGATTCCTGATGCTGGGGCGCACATCACTCTGCCCGCAGCCAGTTGCCACTTGGGTCCAGGAAAACAGGAGGGAAAAGGCAAAGAGAAAGAGGTCAGAGAACAAAAAAGGTGGGTAAGAGGAAGGGGAGGCACTATGAAGAGATTTTTAAGCAGGCGGGATGATGCAGTGGGGAAATAATGAGCTTTAGCATCTGACAGACCTGGGTTCAGAGCCTAGACCTGCAGCTTCTTAACAGTGAGATCTTGGACAAGTTACTTCATCTGTCTGAGCTTCATCTCCTCAAACATAAAACAGGGGAAACTATCTGGCATATTGTGTTATCCTGAGAATGAATGAGAACACTTGTGCAAAGATTTTAGGGCAGTGCCTGAAACATAATAGTATATGATGAATACTGATTTTCATATTTCCTTTTGTCCGCCAACCTCTTTAAAGGTGAGAAAACAGAATAAAATAGAATGTGTCACTCAATTCAAATCTTGTTCCTCAGCTCAGAAACCCCTCCATAGTGCACCACTGCCTACAGAGTAAAGGCCCAGCTGCCTGGCAAAGCAGCCCAGCTCTGCCCATTCTGGCCCCAGGTTGGCATCATTGGCCATTATCTGGGCTCTTATACCCCCCTACCCCCGCCGACCATTCCACCATTTCCCTTCCCCTCTTTTACTTGTGTTGTTCTCCTCAGCGTGGGCTTCCTGTCTCTCCTCATTTACTCATGGAAATCCTGCACTTCTTTCCTCCTTCTCTTCTCATTTATTGGGCAACTACCAAATGCCAGACACTCTGCTGGGAGGCAGAAACAAAGAGAAAACAGACTGGCCCCGATTTGAGTGCAGTGACTGGGGCAGGGGTGGGGGAGATAGACTTTTCCACAGAAGCTTTAATAAAAGAAAGGGAGCAATGGATTCTACTGGAAGAGATGGGAATGAACAATAACTATGGACGGGAGATAGCACTTGAGCTGGGCTAAGAAGGTTATGTAGGATTATTTCAGCAAGGACAAAGGGGGAGGTCAGTGGGCAATATTTTGAGGAAGTGAAGAATCCTAAATCATACTCTGGGCCTAGAGGAAAAGTAGGAAAAAGCAAATAGGAGGGGATGGCTGTGGGGGTGGGAAGGTCGGGTAAGCAATTCCGAGGCAGACGACATGGCGAGGATCTCATTCCACCATTTCACATCTGTGCATCCCTGGGCAATTCTTTCAACTTCTGAGCTTCAGTTTTGTCTTCTGTAAAGTGGGGAATAAAACTAGCTCCTAGCCAGTAGGATGTGTGAGGATAAAATAAGGTGGTCCCTGTAATATTCTTTGCAGTGACTCTGGCAACACAGGAATTGCTGAGCAAACATTCGTGATTGTGGGGGGTTTTTTCTTCTTTTTTTTTTTAAGTCTGACAAAAATGCCAGGTCCTATTCAGCTTTTCCTGACACTCTGAGTCAACTCTCACTCCTTTTCCCTCCATTTAGCATTATTTCACAGCCTTTTGCATGACACAGTATTTCTTTTTCTGCTTCTGTCTGCAACAGATGAAATCCCGTGTCTCGTTCATCTGGGGCATCCCCTGCAGTACAGAGCACCCTACTTTGGACATGGTGATTAATCCCTGAATGATTGTTGGCTGAATGGATGAAACCTCTCACAACTTCAAATGAATACTTTTTGGAAATATTAGAGCTGACAACAATCCTTCAGTCCAGTGTTTTTCAACCTTTTATGCATAATCCCCAGTACAAAAACAATTTTACATCAAGATCAAGTGTATATGTTTACATATACATTTATAGTTAAGGAAACAAAAATGTCATGAAATAATAATTACCCTTCCTGCTACAGTACATTACAATATGTTCTAATCTCTTCTTTTCAATAAACTTTTTTTCTTTTAGAAGAGTTTTTAAACTTACAAAATTATTGGGAAAGTATTACAGAAAGTTTCCACACATCTCATACCGTTTCCTCTATTATTAGCATCTTACATCAGAATGAAACATTTTCTACAACTAAGGAACTAATATTTATACATAACTTAACTGAAGTCCATACCTTATTCAGATTCCTTTAGTTTTTTCCTAGTGTGTTTTTTCTGTTCCAGGATTCCTTCCAGCAGCCATGTGACCTGAGGGGTCATGTCTCTTAGGCTCCCCTGGGCTGTGATAGTTTCTCAGACTTCCCTTGTTTCTGATGACCTTCACAGTTTAGAAGAATACTGGTCAGATATTTTATAGAATGTTCCTCAACTGTGGTTTGTCTGATGTTTTTCTTATGATTAGACTGGGGCTGTGGACTTGAGGGAGGAAGAACACAAGGTGAAGGGCCATTCTCATCACATCGTACCCAGGATACGTATCCCTTTATCTACATGACTTATGATTATTGATGTTAATGGGCCTGCATCACCTGCCTTGAGGTAGTGTTTCTCAGCTTTTCCCACCATCAAGTTACTCTTTCCCTTTCTATACTTTACTCTTTGGAAGTAAGTCACTATGTGCAGCCCACACTTAAGGAGTGGGCAGTGATGTTGTATCACTTTGAAGATGGAGTATCTACATAAATTATTTATAATTTTCCTGCATAGGAGATTTGTCTGTTCTCCTTACATTGCTTATTTATTCCATCGGTATTGATTCAGGGATTCTTTTTAGCCTTCGGGTTATAATTCAATACTACTTTTATTACCTTAATTATTTAGCTGCTTCAACAACTGTGGGTGAAATTTCAATTGGCTCCTGTACACCTTTGGCATACCTTTATTATTTATCACTGTGGGTTTTGTTTGTGTTTGTGTTTGTATTTGAGCACTTCTTTCTTTTCTGGTACTGCAAGAAATCATCTTGTACATTTCTTAGGTCACAGTCCTATAATCAGCCTTTTCTCCAAGGAGTCCTGTTGCCTTTTATTGGAGAATGGTCTTAGGAACTAACCCCTGGTCGTGAGGTTTGCTCACCGCCACCAGGGTGTCATTGCTTCTAGGCCGTCTCAGCTGACAAACAAGAAGATCCATGTGTGTATACTAATCAGTGTATAGATAAATATCTATAAACATTTCTATATGTAACCATGTGTGTCTGTATTAAGCTAAACATGAGTTCTAACTGATGTCTTCAGTTTGAATTCAATACTGCGTGGATTATTCTAGCCTTCTCCCCTTATTTACCTGCAGTCTCTCACTCCAACAGTGAGAAACCCGGTTCCTAGCATCTGTCATCCACTTGCTTAGTTGTTCGGTTCCAGTATACATGGAGAGCGGTTTGAGTACCGATATGCAAATTCAACTTTATCTGCTAGAGAACAGCGCTTATGCACACTTTTCTTTGCCTTTAGTCCTACCAACCCACTCATTTCCCAGGTTGCTTAGCTCAGCATTTTTCTCCCACCCTCTTGAATGAGGCATTCATACATTTCATATCTAGGCTTGCCACAAAGTGCTTGTCTGGGGCTTTCCCTCACCATCATTGTGTTTCCAGTCCCAAGTCTTAATCATTTTTTGTTACTACGTTGTTTTGTAAAAGCTATCCTCCAATAGATTTTTGAGAAACAGAAGATTTTGAAACAATGTCTTGATTCTACCTTTATACTTTTTCATAGCTTGGTAGCAGAATAATAATCCCCACCCCCAAAAAATGTCCACTTCCTAATCTCCAGAATCAATGAATATGTTACATTATATGGCAAAAGGGAATTTGCTGATGTGATGAAGATTATGGTCCTTGAGATGGGGAAAATATTTTAGACTATCCACAAGGGCCTAATGCAACCACACGAGCCCATAAAGGCAGAGAACTTTCTGTGTCTGAGAAGGAGAGGTGAGGGGGAGGTGATGGCAGAGAGATCTGAAGCATGAAAAGGACTTGAAGCAGTGCTGGCTTTGAAGATGAAGGAAGGACACTGTGAGTCAAGGAACTCTGGCAACCTCTGCAAGCTAAGAACAATCCCTCTGGCCAGCAGCCAGCAAAGAAGCCGTGATCTATATCCTAAAACTGAAAGGGACTTAATTCTGTCAACAATCTGAATGAGATTGGAAGGGGATTCTCAATCTTGAGCCTTCAGAAAAGAATACAATCTTGCCAACGCAGCCTTTCAAGACTCAAATCTGAGTAACCAGTCAAGACTGCCATATTTCTGACCTCCAAAACTGGGAGATAATGAACTTGTGTTGTTTTAAGCTGCAAAATTTGTGATCGTTTGTTGTGGGATAAATGAAAAACTAATACATTTTATTTAGATAGAAAATATCTAGGTTAGAAATATTTTTTCCCTCTGAACTTCAGAGGTATCATTGCTGTAATATCTTCCAGCATCTAGTATTGTTATTAAAAGTTTCCAAGCCATTCTCATTTCTGTTCCTTTTTAATGTGATCTGTTTTTTCTTTAGATATTTTTTCCTTATTCCATGATGTTTAAAACTGTGATAACAATGTACCTTTTGTGCAGGCCTTTAGTTCATTTATTGCAATGGGCTTTGTTGGAAATTTTCAACCTAGAAACTCATTATTGTATCAGCTTTTGTTGTATACATGCCACCCCAAAGTTTAGTTATTAACAATGATTTGGTCTGGGTTCTGCTGAGCACTTCCAGGGATCTAGCCAGGCTTGGCTGATCTAGGCTGAGCTCAGCTGGAGTCACCTATCTGTGCCCCATCAGGGCACCCAAGGTTGTTTGTATGGTTAGCAGTAGTTAGCAGTGGTCCAGGAGCAAAAGTGGAAGTATGCAAAGCTTCTGGAAACCTAGGCTCAAAACTTCTGCCACATTCTATGGATGAAGCAAGTCATAAACTCAGTTTAGATTCAAGGGGTAGAGAAATAGATTCGACCTTTTTATATCAGTATTATGATCATTTTTGCATATCTTTAAGACCTTTTCCTATGTTTTCTTAATTTCTTTTCTTCTCTATTAGTCTCTTTTTGGACTTCTTTCAGTAGCCCATTGATCTGGGGTTGATAGAATTATTTTATTTTCTTCTTATTTTATATCTCTGGCTTATTTATACTTTCTAGAAGATTTCCTCAATTTTAATTTCTATTGTTTTTTTCATTTCAGCTGTCAGAACTTTAATTAATAACTAATAAAGAGCTCTTTATTTCTTTTTTTTCTGAATGTTATTTTTTATACTAACTTGCTCTTTTGTCATGGATGCAGTGATTTCTTTTAGCTCTCTGACCATGATAGTATAGTCTTGTTTTACTTTAAAATTTCTGCTCCTTGAAAATTAGATTGTTTCTCCATGTCCTTCTTTATTTTCTCTGTGGTTTGGAATTTCATGTTAATGGACTTTCTCAAAAGTCTGGAGATCCTTAACTGTCTGTTCCTACTTAAGAATGAAGTACTATAACACTGACTGGAAGTACTGTGTGCATGAACAGGACTTGCCATGTGGGAGGCTTTCTAAGAGAGTTGTCTAGAGAGCCAATATATGCATTTAATTGATAGGACTCCCCAAACATCAATGTATTTAAGTGTTTTCTCTTGTACAGCTTGGTTTCTCCAAACTCTTTCCTGCCTTAGGGCCTTTGCACATGCTGTTTCCTCTATACTCTTCTCCCCCTCACCATCTACTCAGAGCCTACTCATACTTTAAAACTAAGTCGAAATGTCACTTCATCAGGGATGCTTTTCAAAATCTTCCAGACTTTATTTTGGGCCCTTGTAATGAACTCTTACAACATCCTATACTTCATATTACCAGTACTTATCTTAGATATTATTTAAAATATTTTATGTAAATATCTATGTAATCTCTTCTCAACTAGGCTACAAGCTTCATGGGGCAAAGTCCTTGTCTGTGTTGTTCACTGCAATGTCCTAAGCACCTGGCACAGGACCTGGCATATAATAGCTACCCAATGAATATGTGTTAAGTGAAATGAACACATGTACATGCAAGCAAAACAATTTTCCTGACTTACATATCTTCTTAGTGGCATAACTAAAAAAATTAAAAAGTCCTTTTGTACCCCCTTCATGATTTTCCTATTTCTGAGTCCCCCTCTTGCAGCTCCTAATAAAGCCCCCCAAGGACTCTTGGGAAGACTGTTCTCATCCCAACTAACCCCACCACAGACAATCCTGGAAGGCCAAAGACTGCAGACATTTTGTAAACAGCCCCAGCTCCCACGGGCTCCCTTATTTTAGGGAGGAACCAGGGTTTGGCCTGTCCCCAGTATTCAAGCCCGAGAATGGGGGGCTATGGCATCTTCCTGGGGAGGCTGTCTCCCCACTTCCACCTTTCACTCCAGGGCCCTGGCACTGCTGGTGCCACTTCAAGCACTTGAATGTCTCAGGAGTGACAGAAAATGCAAAACTCCCTGTTGACAGATTTCTCCTTACCTGGCACCAAGACAACTCTCCCTCTCTGCTAGAGATAAAATGGAAATAAGTTTAAAATAAGTACCGTAATGACTTCATAAGTTCAAGAAGGTATGCAAGGCTCCTGGGCTGTCTGCTCTGAGAGCAACACCTCACCCGTGACTGGAAGGAAGAAGGTCAAAGCCAGCAACCTGCAGAGGGAGACTCCCCTGACTTGCCCCTCCTTCCATTCCTGCCTCAGGAAAAAAACCAAATGAGCAAACAAACACATTTTATCTGGTCAAGCCAAGGCATCCTGAAAATCTGATGTTAAAGTAAGGCAAAACTAAGAATAGTCCAGTCTGTGAGATTGCTGTAGTACCTCCTTTAAAGTAAAGGGCTATGAGGACTGAATGGGACTCTGTCAAGCTTTCATGTTCACCCTGAGGGAACCAAAGTCTCCGCAAGCTCAGGCAACTTGCCAAAGGTCCCAACTCCCAAAGAGCTAGCGAGTTCCAGAGCCAAGAGTTAAATCCAAGCCCCTGAGAAATTGCACTATTTTATATTTAGGGTATATTAGTTAAGGAATTCCACTCCTGCTTAGAATGTTGAAACCCCAAGAGAACAGTGATCTCACCCTAATGAGGAAGGAAATGCTGCATAATTTATAAAATCATCACTTTTCTTCAGGCTCTCAGCTGACATTACAAAGCTACTGGGTGAGTTGCATTCCAACGGGAGGCAAGCCCCTCCAGGGGGAGAGGGTGCACAATCTGCTCACGTGGGGAGGAGAAGGGGAGAAAGACAGGGCCACAGCTGAAGCTGGGGGAAACCAGCTAAGATGGTAACAGATTGTTAGAGGCCAACATGAGCTAGCGTGTGAGTTTGGAACAGTGAGGAGCC